CATTTTACTTAGGGTTAGGGTTATGGATGACGCTGTTCAAATTTCGTTTGTTGGACTGTATATGTCATTACTATGACTGTAGGCGAGGCCTTCTCTCTAAGAGCGGTCAGCATTCAGCGTTTATAGAAATAAATGAAAATTAAAAAAACTTCTACTTGAGAGCGTTTGACTAAGTCGGTATTTCTTTTTAGGACAATTATCCATTTCCATATCCATACAATGAACCGTCAACACGAAAAGTAAGTCTTGCTGTTTTACACTTACAACTGAAACATATCTAGCCATTGCTCTGAAAGCTACACATTCAGTAAAGTTTGAGGTTGTACACCCTCTTGAAAAGGCTACAGACACAAAATATGAAGGAATTTTTGTGCAAACAAAATCACTATGTAACTGAAGAACCCAAAACACTAAGAAAATTATCATATGAATACAGAAAAACCACTCGTGATCATTTGGGTATATATTTGTAAACGTTGTTTTACTTTTTTTTTCTTACACCGATACATCTACAGCTCTTGTTCAGATAGCTGATGACGATGTTCGCATTTTATTTGTCGTACTCATTTCTTTCAACATTCCCGCTCGACATTAAAGCCTAGGACTGCGTGTACTTCCCATAGGTCACAATTATAATCATCTAGCGAGTGCTACATTTCTTCTGTTTTGTCCACTTTTGTCAGATTTTCTAGAGGGGCTATGTCGACTTGTTGTAATACGATCAAAATTAAGAACCATAACATTATAATACACCCACTTTGAAAAGGTTATAGACATAGTCATTTATACAGGAAATATGTTTTCACAACAGAAAGATGTATCGGTATAACAAATACCTGATACTGAAATACTCTTTTCTAAACTATTGTGAGAGTTTTTAATGTTGATTTGATCGCCTGCCCCACTAGCTGTACACCTTTGTCATTGTTTTTGTACAGTTTTTTAGATGAAGACTATTCTCAGATTTTGGTCAAACATGCGGCGAGTGGTCGCTGGAAAAACAAGAACAAACACAGTATATGAGAATTAAATGAAAGTCGAGAGAGTGTTTAAAACGAGCCTGTGCTTTTAGAGCATTTTCTGGTCTGTCTACGAAGCGGCCACGCGACACAAGGTGTCAATCTTACTATTTCTCTGTTACATGTACATCTTTTTCATTTAGAACGCATAAAGTTACACATTACAAGTTGAAGATGGTGTGGAAACGCTATTTTCTTTGTACTCATCTCTAAACACGACTTTAATAAATCAGTTGTTTTAAGCGAAAGCGATGATTCAATCCGTTTTATTCAGTCTTTGTGATTTAGGCCTCAGCCTTTTAGTTTTGTTCCAGGAAACAGGTACGACTGTAACTGAGCGTTGTCATGTCTGGCTTTAAGAAAACAATAGGGCAGCAGTTTTCAACATCTCATAATTCTTAACAACTGTAAATGTCTGTTTAGCTTAAATATTAGTTTATAGTCAGTTACAAAAGTGTCAGGCGTGAAGCTTATATGTATTTTTAAATAATCATAATAAAGTTACAGGTTTCCGGTAGTTGGGCGATCACTTGACAGAGTGTTACTCAAACAGTCCTCGGCGTTATCTTTTAATTAAAATATTCCATTGAATGTCACTAAGACAAATTCTGTAACAGCGTTCATCAATGAATATAAACGTACAAATCTTTATAGAGGCAATAAGAACAATATGGTCTAGCAACACAAACACAAATGCTTGTTCTAACTCTTTCACACACCAGACTGATCCCTGGTAAGTACACCTAAAATTGCTAGATATCTTGACTTTATCCTAGTGTTTAAAAGCGCTACCGCGCTAGACCTCGTCACACCATTGTGAGATATAAACTGCAAAGTTTTTTCATGGCGTTACACTTTGAAATTTTATGTTTCTATGATTTTGTTAGTTCTTTCTGTTTTAATTTGTTTACCGCAGTTTCGCCATTCTTGTAGTATTTTCTCATCTAATTGTAATTGTTAAGCCTTGCGGTTTGTTTCCTAGTTTTTGCTGTCATGTTAGAGGACTCTTCTTCCATATACGCAATATTTCTGTGAATTTGCTTGATTTAATAAAATATTGCTTTAACCCTTCATTTTCTTTCGAGACATTTACGTTATACTATCCTAGTTTATATCAGATATAAGATACAAGATCGTTTCTTAATAATTCTCTTCCGTCTACTCTCATACATTCTATTCAGCTACTCGTTTTCTTTTCATTCAATTACGTGTACTACATGTACTGCGTAAGACTAGGGGAGAGCGGGGCACAAATAGCTCCGTTGGGAGAGCGTTAGAATGAAGATCTGAAGATCCCTCGTTTGAATCAATGTGCTCATGATCAGGCTGGTTAGCTCAGTTGCTTAGATCATGGTGCTACTAATGATCTACTAAACCCTTTTTTGTTCTCTGGGATGTCAGCTCTGCTCTTTTAGCAAAGTGACGGGTCATCTCATGGAAATCACTGCTGGTTAGACAACTGGCTGACGTGGTGGAAATAGCTCAGTTGGGAGAGTGTTAGAATGAAGATCTGAAGGTCCATGGTTTGGTCCTGGGTTTTGGCAGATGCTTGAAGTGGGCCTGTGACCAAAATTCACTGTGAACCAACCCCGCTGTCTAATTGGCCCCCCATAGCCACAACGCTATCTGCCTTCCAAATGGCCGCCATTGTGAGAGTGGTGGTTCCATGGTGTAATGGTTAGCACTCTGGACTTTGAATCCAGCATACTTCCTTGTGTCAGAAATAGCAAAAAAAGCACAAGCTTGGAGATACTGCTGATGACCCTATAAGTGATTTAGTCTTTGCGGCAATGTGAGCAAGTATCACAGTCGTCAAGGTTCCATGGTGTAATGGTTAGCACTCTGCGCTCTGAATCCAGCGATCCAAGTTCAAATCTTGTTGGTACCTGCTTAAGCCACGAATGTAAACAGGACCTGCTTTGAAACATTTTTTATCAGCAGTGAGCCTCAAAAGCTCAGGTACGGAGCATGACTTCAATGCATCAAAGCGCAGTCTGTCTAGTTAAGGAAGTTAACGTAAAAGGGTAGGTCTCTGCTTGGAGAATGCAGGCATCAATCCCGCTACCTCTCACATGCTAAGCAAGCACTCTACCATTTCAGCTAGTTCCCCTGGCCGTATGAGGAGAGATGTCTTAGCCTTGGCAAATTGGGAAGAAGTCCAGTCAGAACCAGACCAGCACTCCGAGTTCAAATCTCGGTGGAACCTGCGTACTTTTTTGCGGCAGGAAAAGCAAAAAAAGCACAAGCTTGGAGGTACTGCTGGTGACCCTATAAGGGATTTAGTCTTTGTGGCAATGTGAGCAAGTGTTACTGCTGTCAAGGTTCCATGGTGTAATGGTTAGCACTCTGGACTCTGAATCCAGCAATCCGAGTTCAAGTCTCGGTGTGACCTGCTTATGCCACGAATGAACACAGCACCCGCTTCAAAAGCCTTTTTGTCAGCGGTGAGCCCCAAAAAGCTCAGGTAGGGAGCATGACTTCATAATATCAAAGCTCAGTCTGTCTAGTTAAGGAAGTTAACGTAAAAGGGTAGGGCTCTGCTTGTACAATGCAGGAATAAATCCCGCTACCTCTCACACACTAAGCGAGCGCTCTACCATTTGAGCTAATTCCCGTAGCCGTATGAAAAGAGATGTCTTAGCCTTTGACATTGTCTCAAGGTGTAGAAAGTCTTCCATGTTAGGTCATTTTCCTTCTTTTGTTCATGCTCTTTTTGTTCTTTTCCTCTGGTAATTATGATGGCTGCCATCTTTTATTAGCTAATTTCTTCGAATGCTTGCTGATTTCATTCAGTGTTTCTTTAAATTAAACTTTCTGAGCTTTCCTGTTTTCAGACCACACTTTGCATCAACTTCTGTTTTTTTTTGTTTTTTACATGTGCTTTATTACAAATAATTGACTTGGCTTTCACAAGATTTTGATCCTGTATCAGAAGTGACTTTTGTGATCAAGTAAGTTCGCACCCATGAGAATTTTATCAGGGTAAGTACTCACCAGGAACCTTCATTACACATTAAATTTGTTTTTATGCACACACACACACACACACACACACACATACAGATATAAAAAGGCAGCACAGTTTGTCTTTGCACTTCTTTTCATTATGGTCAACGATTCTTGGCAATTTGATGTGTGCAATTGAAACGTCCGATTGACCAGACGTTTTGGACGTCTCGTTCATTCCGCATTCGGGCTAATTGGAGTTGTACTGGCATGACTGGAAATAGCTGCCTATGGGCAAAACTTGCTTTATCTTCCATTTCTGAAATCAGCTTCCTACTTTCATGCGGATCAATGGCAGAACGAGCTGGCTCGTTGGTCTAGGGGTATGATTCTCACTTTGGGTGCGAGAGGTCCTGGGTGCAAATCTTGGATGAGCCTGTGGTGAGGCTTGGTCCTGAAGCTCTTCTGTCTCTTTAGTGTCATAGGCTGTCAGCAAATTTTTGGCAAATTTGGAAGAAGTCCAGTCAGAACCAGGCTGGTTAGCTTAGTTGCTTAGAGTGTGTTGCTAATCAGAATCAGAATCAGAATGAATTTTATTGCCAGGTATGTTTACACATACGAGGAATTTGTTTTCGTGACAGAAGCTTCGACAGTGTAACAGAATGACAGTGACAGAACAAAAAACACAGATAATAAAAAATAGAAAACATCAGAATAATCGAAAACCGGTGAAATATCGGGTGGTGTGTACTTCCGAATGTCCAGCAATTTGTCTCTGTTGAAACTGATTGCAGGGATATAAGTAAAGACAGGACAAACTAACAAAAACATAAAAACAACTGCGGAGCACGCCACGGAGGCAGCCATCAGCGTCGGCGCCATCGTTAGAATCCATCGTTAATAACTCCAAGGTTGCGGGTTTGATCCCCGTACGGGCCAGCCTCTTTTGTTCTCTGGGATGTCAGCTCTGCCCTTCTCGCAAAGTGACGGGTGGTCTAATTGAAAACCCTGCTGGTTAGATCACTGGCTGGTGTGGCTGGAATAGCTCAGTTGGGAGAGTGTTAGATTAAAGATCTAAAGGTCCCTGGTTTGATCCTGGGTTTTGGCAGGTGCTCCCTGTCCTTGACTTTTGTTCGAGGTGGGCCTGTGACCAAAATTCACTGTGAATCAACCCTGCTGTGTAATTGGCTCCCCAAAGCCACAATGCTATCTGCCTTCCAAATGGCTGCCAGTGAGGAAGTGGTGGTTCCATGGTGTAATGGTTAGCATTCTGGACTTTGAATCCAGCGCTCTGAGTACAAATCTCAGTGGAACCTGTATACTTTCTTGCGTCAGGAAAAGCAAAAAAAGCACAAGCTTGGAGGTGCTGCTGGTGACCCTATAAGAGATTTAGTCTTTGCAGCAATGTGAGCGAGTGTCACTGTCATCAAGGTTCCATGGTGTAATGGTTAGCACTCTGGGCTCTGAATCCAGCGATCCCAGTTCAAATCTTGGTGGGACTTGCTTATGCTACGAATGTACACAGGACCCACTTCGAAAAACTTTATATCAGCAGTGAGCCCCAAAAGCTCAGGTAGGGAGCATGACTTCATAGCATCAAAGCGCAGTCTGTCTAGTTAAGGAAGTTAACGTAAAAGGGTCGGTCTCTGCTTGGAGAATGCAGGCATCGATCGTGCTACCTCTCGCATGCTAAGCAAGCACTCTACCATTTGAGGTTATTCCCCTGGCCATATGAGGAGAGATGTTTCTTTTGTTCATGCTCTTTTTGTTCTTTTCCTCTGGTAATTATGATGGCTGCCATCTTTTATTAGCTAATTTCTTCGAATGCTTGCTGATTTCATTCAGTGTTTCTTTAAATGAAACTTTCTGAGCTTTCCTGTTGTCGTACAACACTTTGCATTAACGTCTGTTTTGTTTTTTTTTGTTTGTTTTTTTACATGTGCTTTATTACAAATAATTGACTTGGCTTTCACAAGATTGTGATCCTGTATCAGAAGTGACGTTTGTGATCAAGTAAGTTTGCACCCATGAGAATTGTAACAGGGTAAGTACTCCCAAGGAACCTTCATTACACATTAAATTCGTTTTTCTGCTCACACACACATACAGACATAATGTACCATAATGTATGTATCGCTGCAGCCCGGAGACCTCCAAGTGGGAGGGACTTACGCCGCAAGTAGATTGGGAGACCTCCAAGTGACGGAGACGAGTCTGCTTACAGACAGGAGGTTAAAGAGCTGGCTGTCTGGTGCAGTCTTAACAACCTGGAGCTGAACACACTCAAAACAGTGGAGATGATCGTGAACTTCAGGAGGAACCCCCCTGCTCTCCCTCCACTCACCATCATGGACAGCACTGTGACTGCAGTGGAGTCATTCAGGTTCCTGGGCACCACAATCTCTCAGGACCTGAAGTGGGACACTCACATCGACTCAATTGTTAAAAAGGCCCAACAAAGGCTGTACTTCCTTCGCCAGCTGAGGAAGTTCAACCTGCCACAGGAGCTGCTGAAACAGTTCAAACAGTTCTACTCTGCCATCATTGAATCCATCCTCTGCACTTCAAAAACTGTCTGGTTCAGCTCAGCTACCAAATCTGACCTATGAAGACTACAGAGAGCGGTTCGGACTGCCGAGAGGATTATTGCTGCTCCCCTGCCCACCCTTCAAGAACTGTATATATCCAGAGTGAAGAAAAGGGCTTAGAAAATCACTCTGGATCCCTCGCATACAAGCCATCTGCTTTCTGAACGTTTGACATCTGGTCGGAGCTACAGAGCACCGAATACCAGGACAGCCAGGCACAAGAACAGTTTCTTCCCCCAGGCAATCTACCTTATGAACAATTAAATGTCCCCCCTCTCCCAATCGTTCAATAAAAATGTGCAATAACCTTATATTCTATTTGTTACCACCCCACATCCTAGTACATCCCTACATCTCATTCTATTCTATTCCTATTCTATTCTATCAATATCACAACTGTACATACAATTTATTTTACTTTTCAATTAAATTTTCTCTTTTTGTTTATTTATATTTGCATATGTGTATTTTTATTCTCATGTTATTTTTATTGTCTGTGTGTTGTTGTTGTCTCTGTGCACTGGAAGCTTGTGACACTAAAACAAATTCCTTGTATGCGCAGGCATACTTGGCAATAAAGCTCTTTCTGACTTCTGATTATTATGTATGCATGTCATATTTGAGCTTTTGGAATAAACCGTATTTGTGGATGTATGTTTTGTATGTCTTATTCTTTCAATTTTATAAAAAGGAATATAAGGAGTTGTTTTGTGATTAGGTAAAATAGGTCGAAATATTGACTTTTCTGTAATTTGTTAGTTAAAATAAGTGAAAAGGTGAAAAACTGTTAAAAAAAAATACTCTTTCAATTTAATTTGTTTCAATTAATTTCCCCCTTTTTTTCCCTATTATTTTTCTTCTCATTTCCCCTTTCGCCCTTGTTTTTTTTCTTCTCATTTTTTCTTTTCCCCTCACCCACTGCAGTCCCTTTTGCCCTATTCTGTCGCGATTGGTCAAGTAGATGGACTGCTAATCCACTGTGCCCTAAACGCCTTCTTCCAATTCTGCCTTTATCCACCGAAGAAAATGCAGCACGAAACAGAAAAGAAGTCTCTTTTGTCAACAAGATGTTAAGCTTCCAGAGAAGCTGGCAAAAATTACATTACAGCTGTTTGTAACTCACTGTCACTGGACATCTGCTATCTGGAGATTCAAGGTAAGCATTTTCAAATTACAAATTCGTGACATTAGTGTTAACCTATTTGTTCAAACATTAATTCATGGTATGTAAGAGGTCTACGCTTGTGTAGCAAGGCAAGCTAATTAAAGTGTCGCTAACTAACACTAGTTAACCCTTTGATGCATAACGGGTCTAAAGTTTTTATTTTCTATATCTTTGCAATAATTTAATTGCATCATTCAGTATTCCAAGTATTCATTCCCTATGTTATTTCAGTCATGGCTGAGTGATTCTTTGCTGAATGTATTTGAATCATTTATTATTCCAGGTATTCATTAAATATCTAGTTTTTGTTTTCAACTAATCATTATGTTCATTTTTTTTCCTTTCTTACTTTATATAGAAACACAGTTTTTGTAATTATACATCAAAAGCTTGCAAAATTATACATAAATTTTTTGCAAGTAGGAATATATTTATTGCAGAAAACTATTAACCTGCCACATATTTCACCACTCAACATGTCTGCTTTTGTATATTTGATGCAATATATATTTTGTATATTTTACACACACACACACACACACACATATATATATATATATACATATATATGTATATGTGTGTGTGTGTGTGTAAAATATAAAACTAAAAAAAAACTAATTCTACTGTTGCTATATTAACACATATTAACTACATTGATTTGTTCCCCAATATTGTTCAGATATGACCAAAACAGGCAAATCCTCTGCCTATTGGAATGACATCTGCCATAGGTATGCCCAGGGCACCTTCCAGTTCAGTACAGGCAAAAGGCCTGGAAGCAGAAAATGGAAGGAGGTCCTGGAGCGGATTGATGCCTGTCCCCTGCAAAGGGGGAATAAGGTGGACCTGTTTGGCAGGCACATAGTTTGCACTTGTGGGTTCCATAAGGTAGGTATATGATATAATATATCAAAGGCATGATAAGTCCATGTATCACGTAATAGACTATTTTATGGACCATCCCCTGATCTATTCTCAGAGTGCACAGTTCTACAGAATAATTGGTGAAATTATTTAACATGAATAGTATGACCTTCTTTTGTTCCTAATATTCATTTTCTCCCAGTCAACAGATAAGGTCTTGATTGAGTCAGGGCCTAAGTGCTGACCACTCAGCTAGCCCTGTACAGGAAATGTGTGACCTTCCTCAGGCCAAGGACCAGTGGCACCAGTTCCTCCTACCTCCAGTCATCAGTAGAGGAAGTTCACAGTGAGGAGTGGGCACGACGGACCATCCAGTACCTCTCTGACTGTGAGCATCATTTGAGAAAGGTTGCCCTGGTCCAGTCTGCAACGACACCTGCCTTTTCTGCACCTGCACCCTTCAGGCCACTTCCACTCGCCCAGTGGTTTGAGACTGTCCACTCCAACGACATCCTCAGCCATTTGGACGAGATGAAGGGGGTGATTACCTCCACCTATGGCCGAATCCTGAAGATGGATTCTACTAAGAAGGTACAATACATGAATGTTTGAGCATGAGGTTTATTTTCAGCCAGATATAATTTCATCATAATGCATTTGTGTTATATATATTGTAATGCACCATAACAAAACGAAGAAAATGTATAATTAAGCCTGTCAGAATGTCTTAATTTTTCCTTCTGTTTGTTTTTCAGATCACCAAAAAGCTGGCTGGTGGCATTGGGGACACGGCTGCATGGATGACCAACATTGGCAATGAGCTCGGCCAGGTTCTGAACAGTGTTCTGACAACAGCTGAAGGCTCAGGACTGGAGGAGATGTGCCAGGGCGTCGTCAGACGCTACCAGAATGCTGGCGAGCCAGAGCCTAAGGTCATCTATGTTGACCGGGATTGCTGCAGTCAGTCAGGTGAGATTTTCAAATTACTACTTTATCAAATGTGCATTGCAATATATTTTTGCAATATAAGTTAATAGTGGTGTAAAAAAAGTTCCCCTTTCCCTATTGGTGATGGTAATTAGTATTATTATTACAGTCAGTGTAATGAAATTGTAATAAATTATAATGACTGAAAAGTATGTTGAAATGAAATCAAATGCATGTTTTGTTTTTTCCCCTCCACAGGTGCATCTGCGGTGTTAAAACTTTTTCGGCCATGGAAGTCTATTGTAAGGCTAGATATCTTCCATTTTATGAGAAGATTCAACTGTGGCCTTTCTACAGAGCACCACCCTCTCTATGGTACCTTTTGTTCAAAACTTTCCTCCTGTATCTTTGAGTGGGATCAGGAGGATGTGAAAGAACTTAAGGCGGCCAAGAGAGGGGAGTGGAAGAGAAGCCATGTGGAAGAGCAGCCATGGTGGACAGGCTCCCACTGAGGCACAGCTCAAGGCCAGCATCAGTCCAGGTGAACTCGCAAAGCACTGTAGG